CAATCTCCTGAGTGCTGGGGTACAGGCGTGTGCCACCATGCCCGGCTCTCACTTATTTCTTAAATCAACTTTTTTTTTTTTTTGTGGTTTTTCTCCGGTACCGGGAACCGAACTCACGACCTTGCGCTTGCCAGGCAGGCGCTTTTGCCGCTGAGCTAAATCCCCAGCCCCTCTTAAATCAACTTTATACATCCATTTTTATATATAAAGAAGCTGATGAGAGTGGATAAATTATGTTCACTGTAAGTATATTACTCTATTATGCACAGGTACTATAATTATGAATTTACCTGCTGAAGTTATTGTAACAGCACAGTCAGTATTTTTGTTGCTTTCTTAGTCATCTACAGACAATGTTCATGTGCAAAGCAGCAAAAATTTTTAGTCTCCCAACACATTCATTACCAGCTGAGGTCAAACACAGCGGGTTCTGCTTTGTTTCAGCTTTCATACTGTGAACATGTCTTTTTTCGTGTTCTATATATACTTTTGTTTTTATTGGTGACTTCTGCTATGTAAAAATGACCTTCAAACATGTACAAAAGTGCTAGTCTAATGTTTCCAAGTGGAGGAAGACTGATGCATCTTGTGGAGAAAATAACTGTATTAAGTAAGCTTTATTTAAGCACAAGTTACAGTGCTATTGGCTGAGTTCAATATTAAGCTCCATATATTATATCAGGTATCTTTAAATAGAAACACATTAAACAGTTCTCTATTGGTTGGTTAATGGAAATGTAACCATAGTTACCTGTTGTAACTGCAGCAACCTAAACTTGTGTTTTTTCTAGAGGCAATGATCATAGACTTTATAGATCCTAACTAGTGTAAATAATGACAATTGACTACAATTTGCTGAAGATCATATAATCTGATAAATAGTAATAGCAGAATTGAATCCAGGGTTTCTAAAGCTCACATTTAGCTTCTATACTAACTACTGTTATTGAAGGCGGTATCAAAATGCCAATAGGAAAAATAGTTCGGGGATCACTAAATCCGGATACAGTATTTGAGTCTTAATCTATCTCATGGTAATAAGTACCTGATAAAGAATTTGCAGATTATTTTGCAACAGAGTTATTAAAAACTGATATTTGATTCGGTTTCTAGTTTCAAGGGTTAATGTTTGCTTTCTGAAGAACTTACAAGATTACTTATTGGCTTAGCTATTTACTCCCTATTCTGGTTTTTTTTTTGTCTTTTTGAGACAGGTTCTTGCTATATAGTTTAACCTGGCCTTGAGCTCACTTTGTAGCCCAGGCTGGTCTCGAACTCACAACGATCCTTTTGCCTCAGCCTCCCAAGTGTGGGATTACAGGCATGCGCCACCATGCCCCGCTTACGCCCTATTCTTTAACCTGTTCATTTATAGTACAGCTTTTACTTTGACCTAACTGTCTATCCAGGATTTTGTTGTTCCCCCACTTCATCTATTGTTTTATGGGTACCAGACATTAAGTTTTTCTATTCTCTCAGGATTCTTTTTTTAGATTCTATTTTAATCTTGAAACTTACAGTTTTGCCATTTATTTATGTATGAATGCATGCATGTAGTGGTGGTCGTAAGGACTGAACTCAGGATCTTTACACTGAACTACATTTCCAGTCCATTTTTTATCTATTTTTATTTTGAGGTAGGGTCTCATGAAGTTGCCCAGGTTGGGCTCCAACTTGGTGTTCCCTTGCGTCTGCCTGCCAGAGTGCTGGGAGCACAAGTGTATGCTACCATGCTCAGCCTCGTCTATTCTTGATAAAGTATTCTTTTCTACCTGCCACTTTGAAACTGTTTTGAACATCTCGTTTGGTTGCTACGTTCACTAATATTTTTCAGTTGGTATTTTACTCTATTTATACTTTCAGTTGTGTTTAACTTACAGATTTTACTCAAACTGGGTATTCTTTCCATATCTCATCCTACCCATTGAATAGCTCCAGGATAAATGAACAGGGAATTTCAAAACAAAAACACTTACATTTAATTTTTAATCATACCACCTTAAATAGGGAGAAAAATGAGAAAAGTAGAACCCTTGGAAAGAAATGGGACTATGAGTATGAACAAGTTATGGTAGAAAAATATAGAATGTTATATATAGGTGAGTAGCACTGAGTAACTTGGTATAGTTCAACTGTAAGGAACATTAGAGCCTTTGTTTTGCAGTACTATGGATTGAACCAAGGTCTTTGCATTGAACTACATCCCTAACTTTTTATTTGGGGTCAAGGTCTCACTAAATTACTCATGCTGACCTCAGACTTGCAGTTTTCCTCAGTAGTTGGGATTACAGGCATGTGTTATCATACCTGGCTAATCTTTGTGTTTTAATATGTAATACCATAAAAATCCATTGTAAAATTAATATTCGTTGTTTTATAGGGTAAAAGTTCAGTTAATGCAAGTGAAGAGAATACAGGTAAATGTCTTTGTTCTTGTTTTGAAGAATATGTGTAGATATTTGTTTTAATTGCTATTAAAAGTAATTTTTTTTTATAGTCATGAAAAAGAAAAGAGGAAGAGAAGATGAATCGTACAATATTTCAGAGGTCATGTCAAAAGAGGTAAAAATGGAGAGGGTAGTTAATACTCAGTTTGAGTAAAACCTGTTATAAGTTTTTAATACCCCTAAGCTGTAAGAAATGTTGCTTAGCTTTTCAGTATGCTTTAAATGCTTCTTTTGGGTAATATGTGGGTACTCTTAAAGTCAACCCAAAGTAAAAGTTATATAAATTTATAAGTATTAATAATAGAGAAAGAGATGGGTTTCATTTTTTAAAGGCTCATTAAGTGATCTGTTCAGTTCTTTATTGTTAATGTGTTTTTCTGTTTGACATCACATTTTGTATGTGAAGCTGCCAAAAAATTTGAAACTGTTATATGTGTACAAATCTGCTGAAATGAAGCCCATTAATCTGTATAACCAATATGCACTAATAAAATGTGGAGAAATAAATGAATAAAAAAGTATTATAAAAATCGGAAACTGTCAAATGTTCAATGGGTTTTAGACTGATCTGAAGCTGAAATCATAGTTCCTTTTTAAAAACTTTTCCCCCATTCTCACTTGTTACTCATAGAGTATGAATGAACTAAAGTGTTCAATTGACAAATTAAATGTTTCTACATGTTCTTCATGTCACATTGTTAAATTTTTAAAAGACCTACTCTTATTATTCCTTACTGCATTTTTCTTTTCCTTGAAATTGAAACTCTTTAGAGCTTAATAAATTAGGAAATTTTTTTTGACAAGTACTTTATTTTTGGGATGCATTCTGATACCATTTTTTAAGTTAAAAATAGTCAGAAATCACCAGAATTGATACTACCTGATTAGCCTATAGTTTAAAAAATACAGTATACTTTATTGAGATTTAACTAGTCATGTAGCTGCTCGTTTGAGGCAAACTGTGTCATAAATGAGATCCACTAGTGAAGAACTGTGAATACTTTTGTCTTAGCCTGCATCTAGTGAGAAACATAGAAATAAATAATCACTGAAATTGGGAGAGTGGATACACTTGAGAACTTAAGGAGGTGTTCTTAGGCATAAGGTTCATAAAAGTTTTTATCAAGGAAGTGACATTTGTAAGCACTGATTAGAACATATAGTGTATGTTCAAATAAAAAATTATAAGGCACATTACCATTACCATTAATCCCCCTTCAAAGTATTCCCCTCCTTGTTTTAAGTATATACCCTATCATCTTTTGCCCATTTTTTTGAAGCAGTTCTGGAAGTCCTCTTTCATGAGTCTTTTGAAAAAATTTTTTATTATTGCATATTTGCAGTACATAATGATTAATTCATTTTAAAAAAAGAAAAAAAAAAGTCCTGTGAAGCTTTTTTTTGTGTGTGAGCAAAATAATGTTTTATCACACAAAAAGACAGTCTTGTAAAAGTATAATATGTTCTCCCCTACCTTATTTACCATATCTGGCACCCTGTAAGTGTGTTTTGAGGGAGATTGGTGGCAATGTATCTTTCTATAAAATTGTTTTGGAAGTTTGGCATGGTAGCACACATCTACCTGGCACTTGAGGTCACTGTGAGTACAAGTCCAGCCTGGACCTCAAAGTGAGTTGAAGTCAGCCTGAACTAAGTAGTGAGAGCCTGTCTCCAAAAGCAAAAAAAAAAAAAACCCCCGGGGGCCTTTTTTTTTTTTTTTAATTTTTAAAATTTTTTTCTTTTTTTTAAAACCATAATCACTGTAGTTACCATTTTATTTAAAGTTGGTAGAAATTGCCTAATTTTAATTTTCTAGTAGGCCCTTTTTTTTTTTTATATTTGGTTCAAATCAGGATCTGAAAGGCACACACAGATTGCATTTAACTAATATATCCCATGGTCTTTTTTGTTTTTTAAACTATGAGGTGGGTTTTTTTGTTTGTTCGTTTGTTGTTTCTTTGGGAGGTTTTTTGGAAAATTATTTGTTCAAAAGAAGTAATTTTGTATAGTTTTGGACATTTTAAATTTTGCTTGTTATATCCTCATAATTTCTCTGTCCTTTGTTTTTCCTGTGAATAGATCTGGAAGTTGGTGATTGGGAGTTGATTTTTTATTATTATTTTCTCTATTGTTTGTTTGTTTGGTACCTGGAATTAAACTCAGGACCTTGCACTTGCTAGGGAGGCACTTGTGCCACTGAGCTATATCCCTGGCCCGGGATTTAATTTTTAATAAGACTACTTCATACATGATACTTAAATTTTTTGACTAATTGCAAGTTGTTCTCCATAAAGGTTCAGGTTATTTAAAGGAAAACTCTTCTATTGGTTCCTTATATAAAATCCTTTCAGCTTTAGAATAAGAATATATATCTATACATGGGTCACATACTTTGTATACACACATGACTTACATACATACGTGTGTATACATATATGTGTCAGTGATTTACTGGCACGTTCTGCCACTCTCCTGTGCGTGTTAAATTTCATACTTGATCAGGTTCTTGAAAGTATTTCATTCTGTGTATCTTCACATTCTGGTCTCATGTTCTATATTTGAATATTACAGTCTTTAAGGATTAAGCCTACTGACAAATTTTTCAGGAAATTTTTTACAACCTTAATGCTCCTTTAAGTTACCAGATGCCGCTCTTGTATTGGTTGTCAAGTAGGTACTTCAAAATCAGAACACTAATTTTATTTCCAGCTTGTGTTTGCTTTTTACCCTGGACTGCACTCTCACAGGTCTATCCACAGATGCCCAAAGTGCGCTGGAGCAGGTTTTAGCAAACTTATTCTGTATGTAACCAGATAATACTTCCACTTTTTAGGTAACTACTCAAACCTGAACTCTGCTGTGGTAGCTGAAAACAGCTATAACAGATGGTAAACAAGTGAGCCTGGCTTTGTTTCATCTAAAACTATAGACTGCCAGTTGGAGTGTTCTGCAGATTATTGTTTGCTGACGAGAGAATTGTTACCATGTGTGAATTTGCATTTAGTCTATTCATACTTAAAAAAAAAAACAAGGCTGGAAAAACCCAGATTTTAAAAATATTGACAGTTCATTGAGACTATGAGCCCAAAATGACCGTAAAATTTGATGTGGCCTGGAATACCAGTTTGAGATTCTCTTTTAACTACTTTGGATGCTTTAACCTTATTTCTTGTCATAAAACTAACACAATAAATGTTTGTTGAATAAATAAGTAAATGGGCCTCATAAACTATTAATTTATTTTGGCTTTTTCAATCTTCTAGGAAATTTTATCTGTGGCTAAAAAAAATAAAAAGGAGAAGGAGGTAAGAGATCTATAATAGAAAATTAAATTTAAGTGTTACACTTGCACATATATAAGATTTTCCTTTTGAATTGACTTAATCCCAGTTTTCATTCTTAAACTGGAGTTAGACATCTCTGATGAGGAAAGTCTACTGTTGATTCCTAAATTGGCACCAAGTGTCACAGATAACTTTTACAGTTGATATACTGAGCTTTTAAAATTTTACATTGTCTCTTTCCTTTCAACCAAGTTAATTACTTAAATAATGAAAGTAAATTTTTTTTTTTTTTCTTTTTGTTTGTTGTTTTGTCCGGTACCGGCAATCAAACTCATGACCTTGCCCTTGCCAGGCAGGCGCAGTGCCACTGAGCTAATCCCTGGCCCCGAAAGTAAATGTTTCTATGTTCCTTGAAAGAACTCCTTCCACTGAACCTCCCCATGGACATATTACCCTTGTGAGCAAAGGAAATATTAAGAAAATAGTCTAACTTCTTGAGTAGCAAAATACAGAAGTTTGGAAGGGAGATACAGTTCCAAAGGTCTTTTCAAAAGTATGTGCCTGGTGACAATTTTAGTCTGTAAGGATAATTCTCAAAGTTTGTTACTACTTTTTAGTAGTTTTGTGTTTGTATGGAATGGAAGTGTCTCTAGATGTTTATGTGACATCTTGTTTCTTCAGACCTAACGACTGCAGTACTGGCTAGATTTTGATTATTAGTTATATTTTTCTATTGAATGAGGGAGGAGTAGAGCAATATTTTCTATCAGATTTCTAATTAAACGTTTTTCTTTTCAGGATGAAAGTTCCTCCTCTACTAATACATGTGTAGAAGAGCTTCAGAAAAATAAAGACTCAAATACCATAATTAAAGATAGATTGGCTCAGACTGTTAGGCAGAATACCAAGTTCTTTTTTGACCCAGTTAGGAAATGTAATGGACAACCAGTACCCTTTCAACAACCAAAGCTTTTCACAGGAGGAGTGATGCGGTGGTATCAAGTAGAAGGCATGGAATGGCTGAGGGTGAGGAATTGTCATTTTTAGTACGATGTATTGGTTTCTATGCATAGAAATGGCCTAGAATATAACAATTTCAGTTGCTCCTTCTGTGCTTTACTTTTATATATACAATGAATATTTATATGTACTTTTTAAATTTGTTTCCCTGAATTTTTCTCTTTTTTTGGAGACGGGTTCTCACTATGTAGTCCAGGCTAGCCTTGAACTAACTTACTGACCTTGAACTTGCAGCTATCCTGCTTCAGTCTCCCAAGTGCTGGGATCACAGGCCTGTACCACTATTTCTAGCTCCCTTCCAATTTTGGAAAGTGAAAATTACCTAGTTAGACTTTCAACACATTTTATGGCTTTGACAAAGGATTTCCCACAAGGTTGTTATAATTTATTGTGTGTGCATATTAATCTCACAATTGCCATCTTTTTAAATGTTCTTTTATTTTTTAAAAATTAATTATTCAAAAATTAATTAAATAATTAATTAATTAATTTTGGTCTTTTTTGAGACAGGGTTTCACTGTGCAGTTCAGGCTGGCCTTGAACTCATTTTGTAGCCCAGGCTGGCCTCAGACTTACAGCAATCCTCCTGCCTCAGCCTCCCCAGTGCTGGGATTATAGGCGTATGGCACCATGCCCAGCTTAAGTATTCTTTAAAAAAAAAAAAGCGATATATTATTGCTAATTTAGTAGATACTTGTATCAGAATTTGAATATAGTATGTATTCTTTTGTCCAGATGCTCTGGGAAAATGGAATTAATGGCATTTTAGCTGATGAAATGGGGTTGGGTAAGACGGTTCAGTGCATTGCTACAATTGCATTGATGATTCAGAGAGGAGTACCTGGACCTTTTCTTGTCTGTGGCCCTTTGTCTACACTTCCTAACTGGATTGCTGAGTTCAAGAGATTTACACCAGACGTAAGTTTCCTGATGTTAAATATATTATTTCACATGTATTGTGTTTGTTGCTGGGATTAAATTGTAGACTTCCTACTAGGTAATCTTGTACTTCTTTCCTAAAATGTTCCTAATTTTTGAGGATTGGATAATTTCATTCACCTTAGTCTTAAGTAGAATATTTTTTAAAATCATGCTTATTCTTAAATGATAGTTTTCTCCCATATACCTTACCTTGCGAGAAGAATATATTGTAGAAGTAGAGTACCTTCCGTATCTGCCTCTTATACTTTCCAGTTTCGTTTTCTTCCCATAGTGGTCTTATGATTTGTTAGATCATCTCATTTTGCTGTACTGCTTTTTTTTTTTTTCATACTGGGAATCGAACTCAGTACCTTGTGCTTGCCAGGCAGGCGTTTGCGCCGCTGAACTATATCCCTGGTCCTCATTTTGCTATAGAAAAATAGAATTTTAAGTTTTCTTTTCTCTCAAAATTACTTATTTTCAAAGTAATTGTTATTTACATTTTGTTCTAAATCAACCTAAAATCTTTTAGATTCCTACTATGTTATATCATGGAAGCCAGCAGGAACGTCGAAAATTGGTGAGGAATATTCACAAACAAAATGGGACACTGCAGATTCATCCTGTAGTAATCACATCATTTGAAATAGCCATGAGAGATCGAAATGCATTACAGGTACAGAATGTCTTCATTGATTTCTTTATAATCTATAAATCATACTTTACTTACCTCATAACACTTTCTCATCATGCAGTCACGTCTTTAAATTTTCTGGTTGAAGTAATGGTAGTATACCCTGTCCTCTAGAAACTAGAAGCTTATATTAACAAATTGGATGAAGCCTGTTATCTCTTAAATTAAGGCCTATGACATTTTAACCTGTGAGCATATCATGTTTTAGACTCTGCTAGATTGACCTAATCTGCAAATATTTTACTGTTAGAATTAGCTAGATAGACCTTACCTGTGAATATATTATAGCTAATACTTGTGTCATATACTTTGAGTGTGGAATGTACCAATAAGATTATAATTTTTTGTGTGTAGTACTGAAGATTAAACCCAGAATCTCTACTGAGCTATATTTTTATTTGGAGTCAAGGTCTCACCAGGTTACCCAAGCTGGGATCAAACTTTTGATCTCTGCATCAGCCTCCTGAGCAGCTGGGATTACAGGCTTGTGCCACTGCACCTGGCTCATTTTGTCTTTTAAGAATAGATATTTGAGGGGCTGGGGATTTAGCTCAGCGGCAAAGCGCCTGCCTGGCAAGCGCAGGGTCGTGGGTTCGGTTCCCGGTACCGGAGAAAAACCAAAAAAAAAAAAAAAAAGAATAGATATTTGAAGATGAGTCATTTTTAGAAATTCTCATGGTTCTAGGATTAATATTTTGATATCTGCTTTTCTTAACGTTCTAGCGACTTTTTTTTTTTTGTCTCGCTTTTTTTTTTTTTGGTACTGGGAATCGAACTCATGACCTTGCACTTGCTAAGCAGGTGCTTGTGCCACTGAGCTATATCCCTAGCCCTACTGACTTATTTATCAATGCCCATGTTACTGTAATGTACTTAGAAAACCCACCTTCATTGCTATTGCATTTCACATACGTTTTGTTGTTGTTTAGAATTTCTTTCCTTTTTTCAATTTTTGTAGTACTGGGAATTAAACCTAGGACCTCAAGAATGGTAGGCAAACACTGCACCACATCCCCAAACCCTTTTACTTTTGGAACAGTCTTGATAAGTTGCCTTGCTCAGTCTTGCTAAGGCTGGCCTTACACTTGGGACCCCTCCTCTCTAGGCTTCCTGAGTATCTGGAATATAGGCATTTACTGCTATACCTCACTTAGAGGTACTTTATTGCTCTGTCTTTTCTTTCCTGGTCATGTGATGTCCCCACAGGTGTAGTAGTCCCCTTAGATTTTTTTTTTTTTGCATAAAATTAAAACAATGGGTTCAACAAAATCAACACACATAGATAATAAGTGAAGGACATACAATGTATAGTTTGGGAAGTCATGACTATTGTTTGTCAAATATTAGATGTATGTGAGTAGAACTTTGGAATAGGATTTGCAGAATCCTACTCTTGTAAGTGTAATAAAATGTTTATGAAAATGTATAAAAGTATCATATCAAACCATTTCTTCACAGTGTAAGTAATGGTAAGGATCATAGAAAAGAGTAGTGTATGGAAAGATGAAACTATCAGTAGTTCTGTATGAGAATTCTACTTTCATACTGAATAGTGACTGTTAACACTACTCCATGTAAAATGGAGAATCTTCTAATTTATGTTCCTATCCATCCCAAGTTAAATAGTTAAACTTTGATAGTTCTATTTACTAGTGCCTAGAATTTTTCTACTTTTCCCTTTCACCGAGCCTGTGTTAACGTTTCAAGCATTTGAGCTTTAAGGAAGAAAGCTGCGGAGTTCTAATGCTCCTGTTTATGACTCATGAAAGTATCAGAACCCCTTTACTAATTTTTTTTAGGTTCCTCATTATTTCTGTTTCCTTGTCTCTTGTCTTTCACTTATCCATAAAGTGTGGTGTCGGGTGGGGTGGGATGGGATGGGGTTGGCTTAGGTTGGGTTTGTTTTGTTCTGCTGTTTGGTTCTGTTTTGTTCTGTTTTGTCTTGTTTTAAAGAGAATTTCACTGTGTGGCCCAGGCTGGCCTCCAACTGAAACATCCTCCTGCTTCTGTATCTAAAGTAGCTAGGATTATAGGCATGTGTATCACCATGTTTACCTGATATTTTATATTTTGTTTGATAAAATAGATAGGTCTCTTATAGTGAGAGATTATTCAGGTTATCAAGATTGTCATAGTACCAGAAGAATAAATCCCTTCCAAGTGATTTTATTGAAAAGTAATAATTTTATTTTTCATTCTGTTAGGAATGTCCTATGGTTGAATGTAAAACGTGCCTCATTTTGTATTCTTTGACTGTCTTTGAAAATACGTTAACTAAAATTAACTGTGGAGGAAATGGAAAACCTTAAACAGACCAATAACAAAGAAGTTAAAAACATTGTCAGATGAAAAAGAGTGCCAGTTACAAATGTAGACCTCAAGAATACTTAAATTTTTGAGGATGTGGAACTAAAGTTTCAGTTCCTTTTCAGGAATCTAGTATTTGTTAAGAAATTAAGATCAAAACTTGATAAAACAGACGGAAAAGCTAGACTGACTGTAGACAAAAACCTCTTAACAGCATTATAGCTAATAGACTTAAAGTGTTATTTCATTATGTAGTGATGTTTGCTCCAGTACACATTGGTTTTAAGAGTCTGTTGCTTTATCTCATTAGTGGATCAAAGAAAATCATGAATCATCTCAGTGGATACCAAAATAATATTTGATAAAATTCAACATCCCTCAAAAAGAGAATATTTATTTATTTATATATTTATTACTTTTGCCAAAGTTAATTGTATTCATTTCATTAAACAAAAAGTAATAAAATCATATATTGACAGTGTGCAGTGCAGTCCTTTCCTGTTTATATTGTGAAATTACCACATTCTTCCTTGGTAGCATTTCCATTACCTAACACAGTTACCTTTTGGGCATATGAAGAAAACACTAAAAGCAGCGTTTAGCAGATTGTGATGCTGTATGGCACTGTATCAGTCACTGCAGTCACAACGGGATCTATGCCATTTTGTACTGTATAAGAAAACATTGTGCTTTCTTATTGATGCCCCTCAACTTCCCCATCCGCACAGGAAACAATCATTACTAAACTCTGCTTCTTTAAAGTTGTCAATTTTAGATGCTAAAAACTATGATCAAGCTTTTATTTTATTTGTGGGCATATTTCACATAATGACATTTTGGTTAATCTACATTGTCACAAATGATGGATTTTGATAAGCTTTATTTTTAGAAGTGTCTAAAAAATTATGAAATTGTTTTAAAAATTTTCTCAATTCATTTTCTAGCATTGTTTTTGGAAGTACTTAATAGTAGATGAAGGACACAGGATTAAGAATATGAAGTGCCGTCTAATCAGAGAGTTAAAACGGTTCAATGCTGATAACAAACTCCTTTTGACTGGTACTCCCTTGCAAAACAATTTATCAGAACTTTGGTCATTGCTAAACTTTTTGTTGCCAGATGTATTTGATGACTTGAAAAGGTAGGTAAGCTAATTCTTTAACAGTTTTCTTTTTTTTTTTTATTTAACTTTTCTGTATTTTCTTCAAACCTAAATATCTGTGGTCTTAGCTGAAGTTTTTCTAGTAAACTGAATTTTAATAATTTTGGCAAGTTTTTTTGTGGTGTACATTGTGTATTCTATTTTCACAAAGTTGTTGAAAGCAGATAAATAAAAGATGATTTTGAACTTTTCTGCATTGATTAAAGGAAAAACTAAAACCTTGCTTTATGGAAATTTTTTTTTAATACATTTTATCTTAATTTTCTTAAACATTATTAGATAGATATTTTCCTAATTTTAATCTTTATAAACAACCAGAGTTAGTAAAAAGGTTACATAAATTCTCCATCTCATGTAGAAAACTTAGCCTTAAAGTTGTTAGAAAGTATAAGTAATTGGCAAAAGAGCAAAAATAAAAAACCAAGTTTGCCCTATTGTAGTCTAGTACTTTTCATCCTAGAAATGGTTTGAAATTTTGCTTATAAAAGCAAATATAGTCTTCAGAAAACAATTAGTATCTTCAGATGGAAGAATTGATAAGAATAAGTAAAATAGAAGCAACAAAAGTGAAATTTAAAAAAAAAATTCATTTATAACTGTATTGGCATCACCTGTGTCAGCATCAGTGACGAGAGAAAGGTAGCTGGATATGGAGAAATAGCTTTTAATGTTTATTTTGAGAATGTATTCCAGATCTGATTACCAAATAATGTCCCAAGCCAAGGTCCCTATTTGATTGCACACTATTGGGCTGCAGATATAGCTTAGTGGCCCACCTCTGCCTGCCAAGCATGAGGTCTTGAGTTCAATTTATGGTACCAAGAAAAAAAATAGTCAAGAAAAAAATGATTGCACATCATTGCTAAAGGACAGGATTTCCAGGTCCTACACAGACCTACACTGAGTTAGGGTTTGGGGTGTAGGAGGTAAAAATATGAAATTTTAAAATATACTTTATGTGGTCTGTGCTTGAGAATACCTGGTCTGATTACTGCCTGACTGTTACTAGCATTTTTCACAATTGGATATAGTGTTACCTACAATATAACTGTTTACTTAATTACTGATTTTTATATAGTTTTTTTAACATTAGGAAGAAGTAAGGATGTACAGTAGGTATCATTGTCAGGTTACATACATACTTTTTATTTATTTGTTTATTTTTTGGTTTTTCTCCAGTACTGGGAACCGAACTCACGACCTTGTGCTTGCCAGGCAGGCGCTTTTGCCGCTGAGCTAAATCCCCAGCCCCAGGTTACATACATACTGAATTAAGAAAACTTTTGGTGGAGTAGACCAGATTTGTACCTATAGGGAGACTTACATATTGGTTTTCAGAGATAGTTGTTGTTGGGTTGGGATTGTAGCTCAGTTGTAGAGCCTTGCCTAGCATGCCTGAGCCTCTATGTCTAATCCATATTATCATAAAACCAGCAAATGAAAATGTTAGAAACATGTCTCTTTTCAAGTCACAGTTCTTCATTGTTGACTTAATAAATATAGTCACTTTATCTTTGTTGCTCATTTTTTTATTATTTAGAAGTTGCCTCTGAGGATTAAGTACAAGAATATCCATGCTTCTTGCGTGGATAAATTTTGCATGAATTATGTTGTATAATTTAATTCATGTGATAGGTTAACTTGTAATCATTTTTCTCTTCCAGCTTTGAGTCTTGGTTTGATATAACTAGTCTTTCCGAAACTGCTGAAGATATTATAGCTAAAGAACGAGAACAGAATGTATTGCATATGCTGCACCAGGTGTTGAATGTTTTCTTATTTCGCTTACTGTATGCTCATAGAATAAAGAACCCTAATGAGCAGCTGTCTAACCCTTTGTAATGGAAATGAGTCTCCCCAGATTTCATTGATTTGTCTGCTCTTTCTCCCTACTCCCAGGGGGGCTCACATCATTTTAGGTTAGAACTCAAGTGCTTACCCAAATTTTACCCTTTCTCATACATACTAATTTTATCATTAATATCATTGTTTGACAGACAAAAAATGAAATTGTGTAGTTTTTACGCAATATTTACCAGTAATACGTGTGGCCCTGAAAAGCTCCTCAGTTGTGGTTTGATAATTTTACTCAAACACTTAGTAATTTTTTTCTGATTTTGAAGTCATGCTGATGAAAAAAAGCCAATTATGTTGTGTTATATGTCTTACAACACTTTTTCTGTTTCTTTGTGGACACACGTGTTCTATAATTCTCTTGAATTATGTGTGTGATAATCACAATGATTTGTGATAATCACAATGATTTGTAATGATTATTAAATATGCATTATTGGTCTTCATGTTAGATATCTTCTTTCCCCTTTATACTTTTTGTTTAAAAATTTTTAATGCTATTTTTGTGTGAGTGTGAGGTTTAAACATTTTTAATGTAGTAATAGTTGTAATGGTTTTTAAATATGCCATCATGTGACTGAGGGAAAATGACTTACTGAGAAAGTGATGTGTTGTCACTAGACATCATCACCATGTATAGCAAAGTATTTTGATACTAAGTTTTTTTTTTTTTTTTTTTTTCCTGGTACTGGGAATTGAACTCAGGACCTTGCACTTGCCAGGCAGGCGCTTGTGCCACTAAGCTATATCCCCAGCAGATTTGCAGAATTTGACACTTAAAGAGGGTTTCAGTGGGATCTAGGAAAAAGCGTTTAAACTTAAGAATCCTTTTAAAGATATTCCTGAGAAATAATCATCTGCCCTCTTATTGAGCATTTGTAGTAATTATTATGGTTGATTATTTTTCATAAGGAGGCTTGCTGGAATTCCTTTTTTTATTATGAATTGCTACATAGCTATGTGAATATAAAAATTATGTTATATAATTTTTATTATGAATTGCTACATAGTTAATGTGGATATAAAAATTATGGTATAATCTACGTGCATGTTGAAACTCAACATGTTTACCTGTCTAAATTTAAGTTTATCAAGAACAGTGACTTTTTTGGGTTGTTCTAGCAGTAACAAAATTCTGTATAACAGAGTGTCTTAACCTAACTGTTATGATTTGATTCTAATTCTGCTTTAATGAATTATCTAGAAAAAACTCCTTATTCAAAATTAGTTAAGTGGAAACTACTTTAAATCTCTTTATGTTCTGCTAGTCAAGCTTAATATTCCTAATGTTTTCTATATAAAAAGATTTGGAAATCTTCATAATTATTTTATGCTTTACTCCTGGTTTGTTAACCTTCCTTTTAAGATGGTACATTTACAGATATTTATAAAATGAAAAACAAGTCAAATGCTGAATCCATATATTACTTTAAAGTCAGTTATATGGAAGATACTGTGTGTAAGTAAAAACTAAAATTAATGGAAATTTTTGTAGTCTCTGCTAATTTTCATTCATTCATCTGAAAATTAGAATTTTCACTTGCATCTACCATCTTCACAGTCCTGTAGTCTAAATGCAGCTGATGTGTTAATGACTAGTCATTAAAAATTTTCTCTCATTTACAAACATAAACTTTTAAAGACAAATATACCTGCTAGTATGAAGATTTATATGCCTCTCAATATGCTATTTTAGAAAAATTGAACTGTGCATATTGATTTACATAGTACAGAGTTACAGTACCCTCAAATAAACTGATAATCATTTATCATGAAGGAGAGTAATTTTAAGCCTGAAGTTTTAGGGAAAAAAAGGAAATTTTGTCCAGCGTGGCGTTTTAACTGTAATTCCAGCTTATAGTGAGTTCAAGGCCAATGTTAACTATATAGTGAGACCTTATCTCAAAACACCAAAAAAGAGGGATGGTTTCATGTCTGTTGTTATTCAAGGTATAATCTTAGAGTGTTTGAAAGATTAGAAAATTGTGCAATGCTGTGAGTAAATAACTATCAGTTTTTAATTTGTTGATCTGCTATGAGAAAATTTCAAGTTATTTATTTTAATCTTTTGTGACTTGTTATTGCTTATATGGGCATAGGAGAAGAAAAGATAAGGAGTGTGTGGGGAGCAATGTTCCCTGAAAAACAGAAATATTTAATATTCAAATTTATTTGTTCATTTTAAATTTTAGATTCTAACACCTTTTTTATTGAGAAGACTAAAATCTGATGTTGCTCTTGAAGTTCCTCCTAAACGAGAAGTAGTTGTTTATGCACCACTTTCGAAGAAACAGGAAATTTTCTACACAGCCATTGTGAATCGTACAATTGCCAACATGTTTGGATCAAGTGAGGTATAGTGAAAGTTTGAAATATACTGTAAATGAGACATGGTATATAAAATTTCATGATTGATTTCAGTCTTACAGTTCCTTACCTATTGACAGGACTTGTTGGATGATATTATTTCTAAATGAAGTTTAAGGCTAAAAGCAAAAGTTTACCTAATGTCCCTAGTCCTGCTGCAATTTTTAAGTGGTAGTCTGCTCATTATTCTTTGTGATCATATGGAGTATTAAAAATTTAGATTGCTGTATCAGATTAACCTTAATTATGATGCGTGGAGTAGATTTGGAAATGTTTTGGTAAAAGCACACAATCATTTGAGAATTACTGTTCTAAAGGCTTGCCCACTATACCATCCCCTCCCAATATGCAGTACCTTCATAGGAAGGTATTGACAGGCTATTTGAAAGAGATACCTGTTGTAGTCATTACCATATTATAAGAAATAGAGGTATAAGTTAAGTTCAAAGCAGCTTTGTCATCTTTTAATTTTTCTCTACTGAGCTATGAAAACATTAACTTTCACTTTTAGATATTGTCAAAAACGCTAAGACATTTCATGAGAAATTTGTGTTTGGCAATGAGATTATGGATCGCTGGTAATTGTGTCTTTGGAACTATTAAACTTAATGATGAAAAAAAATTTTTAAGCCTTAATCATTTTGTACATATAAACAGACTTTGTTTATTTTACTACTTCGTTGTATAGCTTTTTGAGCAGATACTCCTTCAATTTTTTCTCTTTTAGAAAGAAACAGTTGAGCTAAGTCCTAGTGGGCGACCAAAACGGCGAACTAGAAAATCAATAAATTACAGCAAAATAGATGAGTTTCCTAATGAATTGGAAAAATTGATTAGTCAAATACAGCCAGAAGTAGACAGAGAAAGGTGTGAGTTTAAAAATAAATTTAATGACGATGGGGGGAAAGGGAGGGGAAGGTGGGAAAGGGGAAGTAAAAACAGTGAAGATGTAATATGTGTATGTACCAGTTCCCCAACATGAATGTGATTATTATATATAGCAAACATATACCAATAAATAAAAGAAAATTTATTTAAATTGTTGTGCTTTTTTGCATTTCTCATACTAATGCATTTTGTTTTTGATAGGCCTGTTGGGGAAGTGAATATCCCTATAGAATCTGAAATTGATCTGAAGCTGCAGAACATAATGATGCTGCTTCGTAAGTGCTGTAATCATGCATATCTGATTGAATACCCTATAGACCCTGTTACACAAGAGTTTAAGGTGAATACCATTTAATAATTTACTATAGGTTTTTAAAAATACTGGGGTAGTGTTACGTTGCTTTGCTTATTATTACTTAAATACTGTGCTATTTTCCATATGAAGATTATAATCTTCTGGTGAAAATGAAGCACTCTCCTTAACTTAAAGGATTTTGTGAAGCAACATAACTAATGTTTTATTTACATTTTTATGTGAATAATGAAATACCTTAAATTTAGTAGAGCAAGTGAGATCTATTCTTGCTGTCTGCATTAGAGATAGTTATAACTTTTTTGGTATTCCTTTAATATTTAGTTTGTCAGAATTAGCCTGGCTGTTCATTTGCTTAATGAACAGAAGAAAATAAAAAAATTGATGAGAATTAATGACTTTCAAACTTAATGAATGAAATTGTTTTCTTGGGCCCTAATTGAAAACTCAGTATAGTGTTGAAATGTTCTTAGTAACCTTTGTTTCATCCTAGTTTAAAGCTTTACAGCAAGGCTTCTTAGGCTTGGTGGTATTGAAACTTTGTGTCAAATAATTTTAGTTGAGGTAATATCTGTGTACTACAGAACATTTAGCAACCCACTGGCCTCTGCATACCAGTAGTAGCCACCTTCCCCACTTACGACAACATAGAATTGCTTATAAACTCTAATATTTCCTTTAATTTCTACTAAGAATTCTAGTAGCAATTTTTAGATTTTTTTGTTTGTTTTGGTTTGGTTAATTTTTGAGACACAATCATGCCTATATGGTTCTAACTGGCTTTGAACTCACTATGTAATGGCGGCTAGCCTTGAACTTGTAGTAGTCGTCCTGCCTCAGCCTCCCAAGTGCTGGAATTACCAGTGTATATCACAGCACCCAGCTTCTAGCAGCAATTTTTATACATAGTTTACACCAATATAAATAAACCTTAACATATCACAGTAAATTTGAACCTAATAGAATTTTGGTCTTAAGTGTATGTATGTCTTTTTCTTGAGAAAGAACTATTGTTTAATTAATATAAAAGATTGAATAATGAAATTAATTTTTAAGTTTTATAATTTATCATTGAAAATTGAGCTATTCAAATAGATTTAAAAGGGTTTTATTTTTATAAAATATTAGTAATTATAGTGACTTACAGGATTTTTTGTTCACTTTTAAGATTGATGAAGAATTGGTTGCAAATTCTGGAAAGTTTTTAATTTTGGATCGAATGCTGCCAGAACTAAAACGCAGAGGTCACAAGGTAGTAGTTTGGGTTGTAATTTTCATTGTTGAATTATTTTTTTAATGAAACAGTAAAGATTCTGAGATGTATTTATTTAAATTTCAGGTGTTGCTTTTTTCACAAATGACACGGATGTTGGACATTCTGATGGATTATTGCCATTTTAGAAATTTCAACTTTAGTAGACTTGATGGGTCCATGTCTTATTCAGAGAGAGAAAAAAATGTAAGACTGCTTATGTTATACATAAGAAATTCTTTCTTGTAACTCCTACATAATGTGTGAAGTAGTGTACAAAATATACGTACAAGTTGTTAAGAGATAGTGTTCATCTATGTTTTTGGTAGAATTAAAAACAAGCATTTTGAATGAGTACAAATAAGTGGTGTTTGGTGGCATGTGTGTACACACAGATAGACCCGTTCCTGCACAATCTTGTACTGTCACTGTCAGAATGTTAAATAATGGAGAATATTTTTACCTCTGATTTTCTCTCCTAATCCTCGGGATTTTATTATGAAAATTGCAACTCTATAGTAAAATTAGAATAATTTTACAGTAAGCAACTATAATCCGCCAGTAAATTTTTTTGGTTTGTGTTTTGTGGCACTAGGGGTTGAAATCAGCCATGTTAAAAAATTTTTATCTTAAGACAGGATGGCACTAAGTTGTATAAACTGTTTTCATATTTGGGTAGCTGGCAGTAAAGGCAAGCACTGTTGCATCTAACATTGACATTTTTATCAATTGTCTGTGACAACATCAATCGCTTGCTGTATCCATTCAACGTTTTATCCACTTTTAATACATTTCAAAATACATTATAAATGACGCTACTCTTTTTCAATGACTGCATTATCTGTTACATTTTGAGGTAAATGTTACGTACATTTTTGAGTTTTTACATACATGAGCATGTATACCCAAATCCCTTACCAAGATATCCAGTATTACTGTCAGTCCAGAAATACTCCTGTTTTTTCCCTTAGTTTGTCTACCCTTCTCACCTCTATTTCTTAAGCAATTACTACTGTTTTTTTTCTCACCCTTTTTAATTCAGGTATTCTTATTTAAACTTATGATACAGTCTTTTGACAAAATTTAGATTTCCTTAATAAAACAGATGCTTGGAAAATGAAAGTAAAATGAGCAGAGATTTTGCTAACATTGTTTTATGGATCTGAAAGATTGGCTTGGCTGCTTTTGGCAAAACCTTTAACAGTGACAGTTACAAACACACACACAGTCATGTCTGTTAGTTTTTTATTTTTTTATTTTTAGCACTGGTAATTGAACCTAAGGCCTTCACACTGAGCTACATCCCCAGCCATTTATTATTTGTGTGTTTGTGGGAGTTGAGTTTTTGAGATGGTCTTGCCATGTAGTTCCGGCTCACCTTGAAGTTGGTGTGTAGCACAAGCTGGCCTTAAACACGTGGTGGTCCTCCAGCTTCAACCTCTAAGCGCTGGGATTACAGATAATGTACCACCACACTGGGCCCCAGCACTTTTCTTTGAGTCATGGTCTTACTAAGTAGCTAAGTTGTACAGTCTAGGTCCGAATTTGAGTTCCTCCTGCCTCAGCCTCCCATGAGTACTAAGATCACAGATGTGTAACACAATTTCCAGGTAATTTTTAACATCCCTTTTGCTTTTAGATGGATGACTTCAACAGAGATCCAGATGTGTTTATCTTCTTAGTGAGTACACGAGCTGGTGGCCTGGGTATTAATTTGACTGCAGCAGATACAGTTATCATTTATGATAGTGATTGGGTAAGTTGGTGACCTGTGATTGTCCAATAAGGCACAAAGGGAGAAGGAAAGGAGTCAACAGCAATATGATTATATGCCCATTATGAATTTTTAATCCTTTATTGTATATGCTGCACTTGCAATTAACCTGTTTTGCAAGGTATCTGTTTTAGCTAAGAATCATGTATGATGTTTTCTGCTTGTAAAAACTTGAAATATTTTTTTGATAACTTTTAAAAGTTCTTAGTTGTTGTGAGTGTAGGTATGTGGAGTGGTTATTTATGAAGCCACTCTAGAAGTATAAATTGAGTTAAAGCACTGTTGACATTGTTCTTCATTATGTTATGAATGTTGCCTTACCTGTATAAGTTTAAGTTTACTTTAACCTAATATTTGTAAATATTATTTCCCTTTAACTTTAAGAATCCTCAGTCTGATCTTCAAGCCCAGGATAGATGTCATAGAATTGGTCAGACAAAGCCAGTTGTTGTGTATCGGCTTGTTACAGCAAATACGATTGATCAGAAAATCGTGGAAAGAGCAGCTGCTAAAAGAAAGCTGGAAAAGTTGATCATCCACAAAAGTAAATGATGCTGAAGTGGTACTTTTTTACTTTGGTTGTCTGTTGTAAATTTTTGTTATTATCACTGTTACTTTCTTTATAAAAAGTGCAGCTTGGTGTATGTCGGGATTAAATTAGCAGTGGGGAATGTGGAGCTTCTAACAGCCTATGTTAAGTTGATGACCTTAGACAGAACCTTTCTGTGATTGTCCAAGAAGGCACAAAGGAGTCAACAGTAATTTTAAAGTGAAATATCCTGAATTCTGTTGTAGGGAACTTGGCATGATATCTGTACATATTTTTGATACTTACTTGCCAAAATTTTTAAGAAAACTTGCAAATGAAGCATATTAGAGTATTAGTGATATGTTGATGTATTACTACAGAAGGCCTACTTGTCTTAATGTAGAAAAGATTAAGAGGAAAACTGAAATAAGGAGTTTTCTGTTCTGTTTCCTGAGATATTTGGAAAAGTTGGCTTTTTACTCAGTATAACATTATGTTTAACTAAATGGCTCAATGGCTGTTTGAACAAAAGTTAAAAATTGTCATAAAGTTGTCAAGCCTAGAGAAGTGGGAATACCATAATAATAATGTTGAAAACTACTAGTGTATGATAATTATATTGCTTGCAGATTCTTTTTTGTGAATTTGGTTTTTAGGGCAAAGTAGATTAGGTTTTAGACAAAATTAAATGGACTTGATGGAAAATTTACCTTGTAGATGGAATTTGCAATGAGAGTAATAAGAAAACCTTGTCCTAATAAGATTTTGTATAAATTTAAATAAATTCACCTATGGCACTTTACAAATCTGAATAATGAAACGTAAGTTATATTTTGCTTAAATATTGAATGTAGTGTAAATTTAAGTAAACTTACTGTATGTTTTCCCAAATTTTGCTTTTACTATTTTAAGAGATTAATTTGACAAATATTTGGAAGTTTTTTTTAAGTGCTGAGAGTTTTTATTGGTATAATATTCAATAAAATGCACAGATGTTAAGTATGTAGTGTGATGAATTGTGATGGATGTGTTGACCTACAACTGTCATCCAGATCCAAAGAATTGTTTAAAATTTGAGGTTCATCTATGTTATTTTAAAGATATTTTATCATGTTTTGCTCAATAGTTTTTATCCATTCTTCTGTTAGTGGATATTTGAATTGTTTCCAGATTGTGTTCATTGTGAATCAGCTGGGTTTTTTTTTTTGTTTTGTTTTTTTTTTTTTTTGGTGTTGGGAATTGAACTTCAGGACCTCACATTTGCCAGGCGGCACTGTGTCACTGAACCCTGGCGAATCAGCTGCTTTTATATGAATCAGCTGCTTTTATATGAATCAGCTGCTTTATAGACATAATAGTTTATTTTTCCTTGGATTTAGAGTGGATTTATTTTTACCTAGTTGAGGACTACCGGACATTTCCCAAGTGAACATATCACCATATTTCCACCAGCAAAATATAAGAACTATAATTGCTTGTCCTCCTTAGCAATGCTTGTGTTTTTTATCTTTTTAAAAAATGTCAGCCACTCTGATTTGTTTGGAATATATAGTAGTTTTTAAAGGAATTTTAGCCAGGCATGATGGCACATGCCTGTAATCACAGCACTCTGGAATGCTAAGGCATGCAGACCCCCAGTGTGTACCCAGTCTGGGCAACTTAGTGACTTAGTGAGGCCCTATCTCAAACTTTAAAAAGGGACTGAGGAAGTAACATAGTGCAGAGGCTCTGGCTTCAATCTTCAGTACCACCAAGAAAAAAAAAAATTTTAAATGTTGATTTTTTTTTTTTTTTCACCCTAGATCATTTCAAAGGTGGTCAAACTGGATTAAGTCAATCTAAGAATTTCTTAGATCCTAAGGAATTAATGGAATTACTAAAATCTAGAGATTATGAAAGGTAAGGGGTTTTAGATACAGTTTTAAAAATTCTTTTGTTAGTACTTCTTTTTTTTTTTTTTTTTTGAGTCCCAGGAATTGACGTCAGGACCTTGCACTTGCCAGGTAGGCGCCTGTGCCACTGAACTATATCCCTGGCCCCAATTAGTACTTTTTTATAGCATGTAATGGTTACATTCCTCATGGGGAGTGGGTTCTATATATAAGACAGCTTTTTTATTTCCTTTTCCTCCCCCTCCATCTCTTGGTCTCCTTCCCTTTTGCAAAAGATCTCTCCCTATTTCTTATTAACTATCTTTTATTTATTAAATTTTGGGTTTGTCATGTAAGAAAACCATGTTTTATTTAAGCTTGTGCGTCTGAGCTATTTCACCTAACATTGTCTCAAGGTGTATCTGTTTACCTACAAATGGATCAAGTTTCTCATTTATGGCAAAGTAGTACTCTGTTGTATATAAATGCCACATTTTTAAAATCCATTTATCTGTTGATGGACCTATGGGCTACTTCCACGATTTAGCTGTTATGTATTGCACTGCTATCTATGCATATATTATTGTAATACAAGGTAACTCTTTCAGGAATGATACCTGGAAGGGGAATAGCTGGATCAAGGGGAATTTCAGCTTTTAGTTTTTTTAAGAATCTCCATACTGATTTCCATAGTTCTTATACTAGTTTAGGCTCCCATCAACAACAAAGACGGGTTCCTTTACTGATTTTTTTTATGATAGCCATTATTTCTGGAGTAAGGTAGAATCTCAGTTTTCTAATTTACATTTCTCTAATGGCCAGAGATAATTGAATATTTTTTCATTTATTTATTGACCATTTATAGTTTTTCTGAGAAATGTTAATACAATTTAGTTGCCTGATCCTCTGTCTGAGGAATAGCTGACACATTCTTTTTCCCCATCCTATAGATTATCTTCATTTTGTTGGTTGTGTCCTTTGTTGTACAGAAGCTTTTTAATTTGATATGATACCATTTACTGATTCCCGAGTAGTATTTCCTGTGCAACTGAAGTTCTGTTCAGAAAGTCCTTGCCTATGTCTATGTCCTGAAAAGTTTTACCAATGTTATCTTCCATCAGATTCTGGTTTTGTTGTTGTTGTTGTTGTTGTTGTTGTTGTTGTACCAGGGATTGAACTCACGACCCTATACTTGTCAGGCAGGCACTTGTGCCACTGAGCTATATCCCCAGCCTCCACAGTCTGTTTTAATTAACATTTAGATCTTTGATCCTTTTTTTTTTTAAGTTTAGTATATGGGTTCAGAATCAGTCTTTTGCATGTAGATAGCCAGTTTTCCCATCATTCTTTGTTAAAGGGGCTATCTTTCCTCCAGTGTGTATTTTTGGCCCCTTTGTCAAAGACCAGACATTTAAATGGGTGTGGGGTGGTTTTTTATCATCTCTTATGCTCCATTGTTGTGACTTTATTAATATATCTTGAAGTTCAGCATTGTATTACCTCTTGCTTTGTTCTTGTTGCTCAGGATTGGTTTTGCTATTCTGGCTGTCTTTTGGTTCCATACGAATTTTAGGATTTCCCTAGTTCTGTGAGGAATGCTCTTGGTATTTTGATTGGGATTGTGTTAAATCTTCATCAGTTTTAGAAGTATAGAATGGTCATTCTGACAGTGTTGTTTCTATATATACAGAAATAAATGGATATCTTCTCATTTTCTGATGTCCTTCTTGATTTTTTTCAGAGTGCACTAGTTTTCCTTGTAGAGGTCTTTCACTTTCTTGGTTAATTCCTAAGTTTTTAATTTTTCTTAATGTTACTGTATTTTTCCTTTTTTTTTAGTTTTGGAAAATGTAATTAATAGATTTATTTAAATACACTTGAATATTGTGTTTTACAGGGAAATAAAAGGGTCAAGAGAGAAAGTCATCAGTGATAAAGATCTAGAGTTATTACTAGATCGAAGTGATCTTATTGGTAAGTACTTTTCATGCTTTTATTTTTTGTAGAAATGTGGAAGTATATACGTAAAGGATAGTGACGGTTCATTTGGTCATAGTAGTTAACAGCATTCAGCCTTTTGTTTATTGTCATTTCTTTTTCATTGGAGTCTTAAAATCAGATATCAAGGCCTGAAATATAACAGTGCCTGCTTGGCAAAACACAGGTCCTGAGTTTGATTCCTGGTAAATGCGCCCCCCCATTAGATCTCAGGTATTCATGGCATCCTTTATTGTGTGTCTTTTATTAAGAAGGACATGTTTCTAAACAGAGCAACTTTGTGTTTATAGCATTTGAGGGAATTAACAGTAATACCTTAATTTCACTCAAATTTCCCAGCATATTAAGTTTTTACAGTTTGCATCAGGATCCAAATTGCATTGACTGCTGTTTCTCTTTGTTTATAACACCCACTTTCCTTGGTTTTCCATGCCATTGATTTGTTGGCGAACTAAGCTACTTGCCCAATAAAATAACTGTTATCCTGGAATTGATTTTACATTTTTCCCTTTTATGTTGTCATTTAGTTTGTTCTTCCAACTATGTAACTTGCTTGTAACCTCATAAATTGTGTTTATGTAAATAGTTCTAGACACTTCATTAGATTTAAGTGCCATACTTAGTCAAGAATAACAGTGTTTATATATAGATTTTACATCATACCAAGAGGTACATCACGCCTGTGTTTCTTATATTTGGTAACCAAAATTTATTGAATTCAGACGTATCTTAGTACTACTTAGTATAAAGTTTATCAGCCATTATTTAACTTGATAGTTTTAGCCCATTAATGATGGTTGTTTAGGACTGTTATTTCTTTAAGGTTTATAAAGTGATTTTTTTGTCTTACTCCTTTATTAATTAGAATTTGTGTACTAAAAACTTGCCCTTAACTCTTTGCTTACTAATTACTTTACAGTAGGCACCTAATCTGTGCTCTTTGTATTTGCATTTTCTATGGTGGACATACCATATTATAGTGTGCTGGAACTCATCTTTTCCCCATTGTCCTCAGTGGGGAAAATATTTTCCTGGTAGTTTGAAATTGGTAATGATGATAGAGAACTTACTTTTTATAGCAGGATACTGGAAATTTATTACTTTGGGGGAGTTAATATACTGTTAAAAAATACCTACTTTAATATTTTTCTTTTAGATCAAATGAAATCCTCAGGACCAATTAAGGAGAAGATGGGAATATTCAAGATACTAGAAAATTCTGAAGATTCTAGTTCTGAATGTTTGTTTTAAATTGGAGCTGAGGGAGCTGGGGATATAGCTCAGTGGCATAAGCGCCTGCCTGGCAAGCGCAAGGTCGTGAGTTCAATCCCCGGTACCGCAAAAAAAAAAAAAAAAAAAAAAAAATGGAGCTGAAGAATAGCTTAAGTTACTGTTTACATCTGGTGATTTACTTATATTGGTTTTCAAATCCAGATTGTCCGCTTCACTTTTTAAGCTAAATCAGTTTACATAATGTAAGTAGTACACTTGTATACTTAATAGATTATAATTTCCTGAGCCTTATTAAGAACAAAATTTATCCTAAGTTTAAACTTTCAGTTAATTTTTTGAGGCTCTTGGGTATGGTCTGATATATACGTAACCATTGCCAGATTTATACAGTCTTCCTGTGGAAGTTTAGTAAATGTCTTTTACCCCCTTTCTTTAGCAGTGCAGTTCAAGGGGGTTTGATACTTCAGTTATGGAGTAGGCTTTCAATAAGGGCTTATTGGAGTTATGCTTTCTATTGTTGAAATAAGAAATTGTTTGATTTTAGAGTCTTTAAGATAGTTTACCAAATAAAATTTCATTATAAGATGACCTTATCAAAATATTTTGTGAGGGAGGTAATAGTTCAGGTGAAATAATTGCAAAAGACTTGACGTATTGGAATTCAGTGTCACTGTGCTGGCTTGGTTTCTTTTGCTGGTACAATAAGCATATGTCACACAAAGATTTATTGAGTGGACACAGAGAAGGCTCTGAAAGAAGCTGCAGGATTTTGACAGGCAACCAGAAATTAGGTGTGATAGTATGCAGTGTAAAAATAGGACAAAAAAGGAGAAACTCTGGAAATTGTAATAGGAGGGGAGGAAATACAATCAGATGAAGAAAATAAGACCAAGGAGTAGCCCAAAATCTGTAATTAAGAAACATGAAAGCTAAAAGGGGAACAGTTTAGGCCATGTGTGGAAGGATATGAAGAAGAGATCTAGAACATACCCTAAGATGGGGAAATGCTCCCTGAACCATAGGTTTCTGAACAGGTTAATAGGAAACGTTATCTTTTATATTCCTAGGCAGATCAGACGATAGTGTTAGGAAAATGGAACTATAGCTCAAAAGAAAAATATTTTGAGAGAACATTTAATCAAAGAAAAGAACACAAAACAAGATTTTCATTTTGTTTGAGTAAGTCAGACTTCACCAGTCACATAAGCATGCTGATAAGTATTGCCTGAAATTCATGGTCAGAACTTAGTGAGTTGCTTAGTAGATATACGAGTTTTTCAGTCTTGTTTTCTTACACTGTCATGAGTGGCTGTCATAGCTTCTTCCCTGTCTTTATATCTCTGATAACTCTCACTTTGCTCCCTGTTCCACTGAGAACATAGGATCAACCAGAAAAGAACTTTTAGAAGTTTATCATCACTGTATCGGTAAGCCTACTTGTTTCTGTTTATCTTTTATTTCTTCCATATATTTCTTATCCTAGTCAGAGCCAACTGAAAGCCACCCCCCCCCTTTTTTTTTCCTTTTAGTAGCAGGACTACTTGCAAACGTTATCTGTATTCATTATTTTTAGTTTACCCTTTTCTATTTTTTTCCCCTGAACACAGTCCAGTTGGATTTTCATGCCTGTATTCTATGAGAATTGTTCTTTTTAATGTCTCCAGTGACCTCTGAAATCATTTTACCTGATCTGTCAACATTTCATATTGTTACTGACTCCTATTTTAGTTGGCTTTTAGCAAATACATTTCCTTTCTCCTTCTTTGATTCTCAGTTTTCTTTGCTATTTTTTACACATCTGACCTCTGAACGTTAGAATGTTCCAAACAGGCATTGTTACTTCCTTAATGATTTTGCTTCATAACTCAGACTACCCAAAATCTGAGTTTATGATTTTTCTGTAGCTCACATTTGCTCCTTTTTAAATTTTCCTTCTTCCAGTAAATACCAACTCTGTTCTTTAGGTTGTTTATACTAAGAATTTTGGAGTCATGGTTTATTCTTCATTTTTCTTTGTACTTCATATCTGAGTGTATATATACTTTTTAAATATGTCCAGAATTCTGCCGTGTCTTACTACTTTAATGTGTATTAATAGTTTCTGCATCTTTTAGTGCAGGTGTATAATTTTTGATTGGATCAATAGTTATTGTCATTTTGACCATATAAACATTCTCCAGATAAGACATGGGATATACATAATTGTATGTTCGCTTTTTTTTGGTGGTTGATAGCACTGGCTGTTGAACTTAGGACCTTTTAAAATTTTGAGATGTGGTTTCACTGAATTGCGTAGGCTGGACTTAAACTTGCCTCAGTCTTCCAGAGTGCACCACCATACCTGACAGTTTTTCTTTTTTCATATTTTCAATTTTGTGCAACTTTTCCCCCAAAAGATAATAGTTCTCTTTGTGCTTATCAGTAACTCTGGAAGTGTGAATCCCCCATTATGTTCAGACACATTAGGCATTTCATTGGTACCTCCCCTCCAAGATTACATTCCATCATCCCCACCCTGTCCCCTAGAGCATTATTAATCTGGACTGTAGAACAGATTCCATCTGGAATCATACTTTATCCTTCACTTAGGTATTTCTATTAGTTGTTCGTTATCTCTTGCTTTTTCCCTGGTTTACTCCCTCATTTTAGTAGAATTTTCTTGTTCAGTGACTTTCTGAGAAAAAGATTCAAAAGAAATGAAATTTTTGAGACATTGTGTATATGACAACATTTCTATTGTATATCTACTATAATAGTTTTGGTTTCAGATTTTAATTAAGAATCATTTTCTCAGAATTTTGAAAGTTACATTTTCTATTTTTTTGTTTGTTTTTATTTTTTAGACAAGACCTTGTTATGTAGTTGTGGCTGGCATTGAACTCACAGTGTAGCCCAGGCTGGCCTTGAACTTGCAGAGATTCTCTTGGTTCAATCTCCTGTGTGCCAGCACACTTGACTTTCTTTTCTCTTATTTCCTTTGTGTGTGGGGGGGTTCTTTGTTTGGTATATTTCCTTCAAGTGATTCTTCTTTTAGTCCCTTTTATTTTGTATGCTTCTTCAAATGCTTTAGGATCATTGGCTGTTCTTCAGATTTGAGAACAAACAACTAAAAAATTAAGTTCTCTGCATAGGTCTTGGCAACAGATAGATTTCATTGCAGTGTATTGACTAGGCCATATTTTTGAGAACTCCTCAGTTTTCAGCATACATGGTAGGCCCTTTGTAGGAGAGAAATCCTCCAGTCTGTGTATATATATATATTTTGCCAGTTTTCTTTTGGGGCAGAGAGGAGGGAAGGGGTTTTGGAAATACAGACATCCCCAGTTTTCAGTACAGTTCTGCAACCTGCTACCTCAGCTTTATATCTGAATTCTCCAATTCCCAGAGCCCAGCCCCTCTTGCTCACCTTCTGTAGGGAGTGTTCCCTTCAGTTTTCTTCCAGTTTGAGGGAGTGGTAATCACTTTACAAGGGGGTGGGGTTTGGGGGTTTAACTGCTTCTTTCAATCAGTTGTACTGGAGCCTTTTCATGAAAGCCTGTATCCGGAACTGAGACTTCTAATTCTCCAGTCTATTGTAGCAGTTGTCACTCATGCATTTATTTTTCAGTTGCTAAAATCTTTTGTTGTCATCTCTTCTGTTACCCTTTCGTGAGTGTTTAAAGTCTCTTTCATCTTTATACTGTCAGTTTCCAGACCTGTATCAAGGGACTGTGGGGAGCACATGTTCTCATTCCATCATGTTCAAACAAATGCTCCATGTTTTACTTACATAATAAATTATTTTCAAAACTGAGCCTTGTCTTTCATGACTTGGTTACAATGAAAAGTACTTTATTTACCCTGTTTGTCTCATGAGTCTTTATTCAATATTGGGTTGGTTTAGTTTGGTTGGGTTGGGTTTTTGTTTTGGGGATGTTTTGGTTTTGCTTTTATTTTGCTTTTGGCAGTGCTGGGGATAAATGATGTGCTAAGATGTATCTTCATCCCTGTTGCTGCTGCTTATATGTGTTGAAAAATACTGTGAAAGTGTACTTGAACATTATCAGGCAGGCATGTTTGATGGAGTCTTTTATAGCAGTTGTGTATAGTTATTTTAGTGATTTGTGGTAATACTTGATAACATTAAGTGCTTCTGATAGCTTGAAGTTCCATTCTGTTAATGTTAAAAAAAACTTGAATGTACAGTTTGTATATTTCTTGAGCTAGGCATGGTGACTCATCCTTTAATTCCTACACTGGTGAAGCTGAGGCAGGAAGGTTGCATGTTTGAGAGTCTTGCTTGGGCAACTTAGTTGAGACCCTGTGTCAGAATAAAAAACGAAAACCTGGGATATAGTTTAGTGGTAGAGTGCCCCTGAATTCCATCTTTAGTACTACTGCCCACTCCCCCAAAAGATTCCATTGTTTGATTCGCTTGTACATACTATTGGTTTGTATATAGCACAAATACTATCATATTTTAAATACCATCAATTCCAGATACATGTCAATTATGGTTATAAAAATCAAGCCTAAGGTGTTATGAGTAAAATTGAAAAGGCTTCTCTTTTTGTCTTTATTACTTTTGGATTAGTTATTGTCATTCACTTACTTTGTTATGACTGCTGTATTTACAGAGGATGCGAGTTTGACTAAAATGAAGTGAAGCTTGCCTGTCAGTGTACATCCTTGATTTAGCCAACACTTCTAAATAGCTTTAATTTACAAAATTATTTTAAAAGTTAATAATAAAAGCATGTTTTTTCATTTCTTTATTTTTGGCTCACAGTTGTAAACTAAGCTTAAAACTCCACTAGTAGTCCTATGGTGCATGACTAGGAGATACGTTTAACATGTCAAACTATTGACAACCAGGTCCAATAAAAATGCTGTCTTGTTCGCATGTGACTTGGTGCTGACATAATTTGAAAATTGTAAGCACTGAAAAGTAGTTGTATTCTTATGAGCTGGTAAGTCAACCATGAAATTTAGAATATGCATTCTTTTTTTTTTTTTTTTTTTTTTGAGACAAGGTGTTGCCATTTAGTTCAGGCTGGCCTGCACTCACTGTGTCATCTAGGGTGGCCTCAAACTTGGGGTAATCTTCCTGCCTCAGCCTCCAGAATGCTGGTATCACAGGTGTGTGCCACCATGTCCTGCTGTTCATTGAGATTTGACTGAGATGAATATAGACTTAAATTCTGCAGCTGTGTCTACCAGTTGGAGTTTGAAAAAGCCAGCCCTAAAGGGTGACTTGTCTATATTTCCTGTTACAGATGGCTTCCTCCAGTCAGATGAATCTATAAATCAGCCTCCAAGTTATGTGAAATTTTTCCCCTTACATTTTATTGAGGTAACATGCTAAGAACAGAATGGTGCAAAAGTTGTTAAGTGCTCACCTTGGTGTGCATTGTACATCTATATATATACACACCTGTGTAACTATCATCCACATTAACGGAGTTGATAGCATTTCAGAAGGTTCTCTCTTCCCTTACTGTTAGCCCCACCCACAGTATATCTATCACCCTGGACCAGTTCAACAGAGCAAGAACTATGGCAGGTTCGTGAATTAATGAAGTAAATATTAGATCTGCTACTAACCCCAATTTGTAGATACTTGAATGATACAAAATGAAACTAGTTTTAATGTTTTGTCAAAGCAAGATCTCTCACATGACTTCTCTACCTTGTGCTGAGAAACAGCACAAACTCAACTTGGAAACATGTGTGGTAAGAGGTTTTGTTCTACCCTGTCAGTGCTGTGATGACCCTTGGTGTTAGAACCCTAGTATAAGAAAAGTGCTACTAGAATGTTACATTACCCAGCATAAGACATGTTAATGTTTTCTTGAGGTAAAAGATTGGAAGCATTAGGTCAGAGCAAACCTGAGGAGAAAACTAGCAGTCTCAAGAAATTGTAAAAATTGAACACTCGTCATTTCATTGTTTGGACTTGATATTCAGGTGTATTCCTTATTCAGATTCTTGGATAGTTTACTTCTGGCCATTCAGGTCTCATTCACGTACTATGCCAGCATGTATGTTCATCCCCAGAGAACACCTCTTTCACAAGGGATCCCACACTTGCCAATCTGCCTCTCATCATGCCAAAATTGCATCTTTGCTGTCTTGCTACCACCAAGGAAGAACATGTTGGAAGCATAAGGCAGGAATGAAGTCAGAAAAGTCAAGGCTGCATTAAAGATTAGCTAGGAGGCTGGGTGTGGTGGCGCATACCTGTAATTCTAGCACTTGGGAGGCTGAGGTAGGAGGGTCATTGTGAGTTTGAGACCAGCCTGGGCTACAAAGTGAGCTCAAGGCCAGCCTGAACTACATAGTGAGACCCTGTCTGAAAAAGATCAAAAAAAAGTGCTCTTCTGTAATTCCAGTACTCTGGAGGCTGAGGCAGGAGGATTACCGAGAGTTGAAGGCCAGACTGAACTACATAGCAAGACCTTACCTCAAAAATATAAACAAATAAGAATTGTTTTAAAATAACTCTGGTCCTATTGTTTCATTAAAGAACATAAGATATGTGGAATGAAAACTAGTATTAGAAATACAAACCAATATACAGTGATACCTTTTTTATGAAAATGAACTTTGGTTTTCTAGATTTAGGAAAGATAACTTCACATTTGAGTAGTATAAGTAAGTGGTAAATGGACAAAGGAAAAACCCCATACTTATATGCATTATAGACAAGAGTACTGTCTTCTAAAACTCACAGAAAGTGAACATACACAAAGGTCAGGCATATTTTAACTGAAAAAGAATCTCATTAAATTATTCAAAGTAAGGGAATAGTAAAGGTACTTTCAGACATAGAAGATCTTAAGATTTGTGAGGCAAAAGGAGGTTAAGTGGCCAAAGGCTTTAAAGCACAGTGGATCCTTGAGTTAATGACTGGCCTGAGATATGGACTTCTTGAGTTATGACCAGAATTTTAGTTTTAACTCAAGTCTTGAGTTTTGACCTGAATGCCGGCTACTTGTTCTTCCAGGTCTCAAATACAGATTTAACCCTTAAAGAGCTCTAAGTATACAGACCTGCCAGTATACAGGAGAGAGACTCAAGGCCTTGTAGAGGAGCTTGAGCATTCAGTTGCATTACAATAAGCCCTTGGGAGTGAATTGAGTTTTTAAGTCAAAGGTCCACTGTACCTTAGAAACAGCTTAGTATGGAACCCTCATGTCCTGACATGGCTCTGTCCTTATGCTGCTGAAGCTCACCATAGCTAGGACTTGAACATGCCACTCATAAGCTGCAGTACTACAAGCAAAATTTTAATGGCCAAGGATCAGATGGAGACGGATGAGTTTCAAGCCAGTAGCTGATGTCACTGAAAAGGTAGCCTATAGCTTTAGAATTAGATCTGCTATTACTGGAAGTGTACCTTTTAAATCACTTCCCTTATGAACTTAGTTCTTAGTTACTACTTTAGTACTTAGTTACTACTTTAGTTTTTTTTTTTT